ACTTTTCTCACAGAATCACATCAATTAAAGGTTGCATCTGATTTTACTCTAAATTGAGCTGAATGTCAAGAAAAATGTTAATATTTCATTTCCTGCTCATTTGATTTATTTTAGTTGTATAAGGCTGTTTTGCTAAAACTCAGTGTAGCACTATTGATGCAGTGTATGTATATTTTATATATTATTTTTAAGTATAAAGTAAAAGAATACATTAGGCGAGTTTTTCTTGTGAAGCCAAGCTAATCTTTGTCTTTCTGATGATTATTTAAATGATATAATGCAAATAAATTTGCAATAAAAACAAAAAACAACTTGTTCTTGGAGTATTTGGAAATTAATTACGCAATATAACTGCTACTATCTCCAAAACAGTGACCTACAGCGCACACCTGTATTTATCATTTAGCCACTGACCTGTCTGACTGTTACATACATGCATTAGCAGTCTCAGTCTCCCGATACCATTTTGTAGAATGTATCTTTAACTTATTCAGCATGAGCTCTTACTCAATATTAACCACATATTTCAACAGATATACACAGAACTATTCACACACAATGACTTATGCAATTGCATTATGAAACCTTTCAAGCAGTAGCTTCTCATTTCCTGCAATCAGATCAGGATTTGTCTGTGAATCATCAGTGGAAACACAAACTGCTGCTCTTCGCTCTTTTGTCATTTTTCTATTTTTTAAAGAGAAAAAGAAAATGTTAACCTCTTTAATTAAACATTTAATTAAACATTGTGTTTGCTTTATTATTCGGGGTGCATTAATGAGAAACGTGACTGTTACATACATGCACTAGCAGACTAATGTATCACTGTGATATGTATGTAAGTATGAATGCACAGCACGTATCTATCTGTAATCAACAGAAATTCAGCTTGCTCATATTTCATTAGATATACATACACATATTCACGCATGCATCCCCATATGATTGTGATATACACTGTGAAACTTCTAGCAACTAACCGCCTCTTACCCGTGAACTAGCTGTGGAAAGCTCTGTGGAATCTCCCCCACCCAAAACAAAAATATATGAAGACATAAGTAAAGTTAACTTACTGTAATTCTTAAAAATCATACTTATTTTAGTAATCAGTGTGTAACGTGTGTGTAGGAACAGGTGTTGGTTTTATCTTTTTTCTCGTTTAAAGAGAACAGTTGGAACAGGTGGCTTTGGAGCTTTAAAAATTGTCATTTGTAAAAACACAAAGATGAGATATCGCACACTGACCATGTAAAGCATTAATTAAATAATTAATT